GTTCTACTTGAGGTATATGCTGGTGCTATCACAGCTAAAGCTGACCGAGGAGAAGAACATAAGGGGATGCTAGATGAGTATTGGAATAGACGGGATTCCCTTCTTGATTCCCTCTACAAACAAGTGAAATATTTGGTGGAAGGCGGGCACCGAGTTAATCTCTTTTACTTTTCTGTATTTTATGTTCTTATGATCATGAAGTTTGATATTTATGGATCTTTGAACTGTCTCCTTGTAGGTTTTGAACGTAGGAATTGATGAGCCAGATGAAGAAATCCTTAGAAAGCTAACTTCAAATTTGCTGTCCATTGCCAAAAGACACGAAGGGTACAATACTATGTGGAGTATATGTTGTGACATCAATGATTCAGTACTGCTCAGAAATCTTATGGTACAGAGATTATTTCTATTTACACGCTTTCTATCTTGCTCCTTGTTATTTTTATCTGACAGATGCTTTATGATCACTCCCAATTGTGGTAACTGCTAAATATCAGGTGTCAGTGCCATCAGCATCGATGTTTTAATTTCAAAAAAGGCATGCAAGTATTGGTACCTTGACAGATAAAATTTCTTTTTCTACCTTGCCAAAACTTCTTGTTAGAAGTGCGTGCATGAAAAAGTCTTTCAGATAGTGGCAAAATTGAGAATGTCAAATGTGAGCAATGTAGACTCTTTTTAAATAGTGGCAAAAGCTTTACTGACAGTATATTTTTTTTCCAAATGTTTGTTGATTCTCCCAGATATGTTGAATAGCTCAGTGTTTTACTGACTTAGCATAGATTGTGATCTCTCTTAAAGAATCCATCATCAATCCAATTTAGTCATGCAGTTTGAATAGGCAGATGTCACAGCCAAGTGCGTGCACTCGCACAGGTGGGATGCATGTTTATTTGCTGTGCGGCAATTATATTTTACCTGTGTGTTGTTGATTGAGAAATTACAGAAGTGTTAGGGGAACCATTACCAGAATTGTATGTAAACGGAACAAGACTCCCTGTTTCCATTTTCTTATCATCTTTAATTTTCATTTTTTTTTTCAACTCTATCTCTTTATCTAAAGGGCTTGATATGTTGTCTTTCCATGAGCGAATAAAAGTTTTTAAGCCCGACAAGCATAGATTCCGCCCCTAATAGGCTAATAGTGGAGAGAATTTCTGTAGATCATGGCTGTATGTTGTAAAAGGAACTTTGTTTGCTTGTATTCTCCTTTCTATTTGTTCTCTTATGTGTTCTTGTATGTCTAGAGATAAGAACTACATACTCATGGTATGGATTTGTTTATTCTTTTTCTTGTGCTCTCCCTCCTTTAAGGTTTTTTTCAATATTGCATTGGCTTGTGATTCTTTGTGGAGATTGATCTTTTACTGCCTGTGTTTTGCTCAGCATGAGAGCACGGGGCCCAAGAGAGGTTTCAGTTACTTTGTGTTTGAGCAATTATATGATAAGAGGCAATTCTCAAAGCTTCTAAGGCTCGGAGAAGAGTTCCAGGAAGAGCTATCTATTTTTCTGAAGCATCACCGAGATCTGCTGTGGCTTCATGAATTGTTTCTCCATCAGTTTTCCTCAGCTTCAGAAACTCTTCATGTATTGGCCCTTTCTCAAAATGAGATCTCTAGTTCAGAAGCTGAAGAGAGCTCAGACCCTGAGCACAACAGATTCATAACCACACTGGCAGATAGAAAGCGTCTTTTGAATCTCTCGAAGATTGCTGCCATGGCAGGTATGACCTACTTGTTTGTTTCTTTGTCATCCCTTGTTTTTCGGTTTTTTTTTTCCATGTTTCAGTGAAAGGGGAAATTTTGAAAAGTATGCAATCTTGAGGTTAGTTTCTTTCATGCCAACTGCCAAGTTGAGCCAACTTGGTGATTTTTGACTCTTCTATACCATTGGTGTCATCATGTCTAATAATAAAAAAATATTCACAAACATTGACCCCCTCCTTAATCAAGGTGCACTTTCGCCGATTCCTTTTCCATGAGGCTGTCCATTTCTTCAGATTAATTCTAGGATTCTTCTCTAATGGTGATAATAGTACTTGTTATGCAATATCGTTGTAGTTACTTTTCAGTTTTGAGGGGTTTCATAGTCTTTGATTTCCTAATCTGTTTTATATATCAGTTCCCTCTTTTACCTCTTGCTAAGCTAATTCGGGCAAGTTTTCAAGTGACATTTTTAAGAACTTCGTTAGTGTTTTCTTGCTATTTCTTACCATGCTGATGCTGGGTGTTGAGGATATCGAAGACTACATGATTTTTCACTGGTTACGCTTTTTGCCTCCCAGAAAATAAGGAATATGTATATTGTGCATTATCTGAGCCTGGGTGAGGAAGATGCTTGATGGAAAATTAAAAGTAGAAGTATTTTTTTGTTCTTGTTTTCTTCTGAGATGTTAAGTTTTAACAAAATGCTTGTAACAAGGTTTTTTATTTTTTATTTTTCTTTCTTTTTTTAACATAAGCAGATAAGACTACCGACTCCGAGACAAAGTTGAAACGCATTGAAGCAGATTTGAAGATTTTGAAATTGCAGGTTAAGCTATGCTTTATGAATGATATTTGTTGCCAGTTGCTATGTTCCTTCTCTAGTTAGAGGATCTTCCTTGTGATTTGTTATTCTTTAGCAGAGAAGAAATCATATTCACAAACGTTGCATCCTGTACTTGTTCATTTTTCACTGAAGAATCCAGCTATGTGCTGCCATTAGCATATATTAAAATTTGATTGTTTTCCTTTTCCTGACAAGTTACTAACTTTGTTAGTTTCCTGGAGTTCATTGTTAATGTTGTCATCTCAGATAAATGTGCTCAGAGATCCTGAGTCAAGGAGAGCCTATTGGGATTCTTCCACTGTTTGCCTCATAAAGTATTTATATGCCTTGACCTCATAAAATGTTGTAACTTACTTGACAGCTAGAACCACATGACCCCTCGTTTACTTTGTTTGATAGCTAGAAGCCAAGAACCACAACCCCTTTTTCACTGAAACGGGTGAATCTGGTCATGTATGGAACCAAAATAGCCCGTAGAATTTTGAGCCCTTTTCTTCCAAGTTCAAATATAGAGCGCTGGTCTTCATCGTCTAATTTGTATTGTGGATTTTACAGAAAACACAAGGGTTGCTTCTGTTCTCAAAGAAGCTTGCCTGAAGTTGCAGCTTGGGTAGATAAAAGCCATTAAATTTATCACCGTCATCAACAACCCTTTTTCTATTATATCATAACGATAACTCATTGATTATTATGCAAAATGTTGGGCTGCTTAAACCACACTATTACGGTCTTTAATTTGTGTATGACCTCCAGCACACCTGACCCTTCATTGCATGCAGGAAGAAATTCTGAAAGTACTCCCTGCCAATGAAGCAAATCAATACGATGGAGAGAGGCTCTTCCGTCCTGAAGAACTCATAGAGCTGTGCCTTAAAGTCCAAAACCCAGAGCTTGCATTGCGGGCCTTTGATGTGTTTGCCTGGACTAGCTCCTCATTTCGTAGAAGTCACAGAAACCTTCTGGAGGGGTGCTGGAAGAATGCTGCCGATCTGGATGACTGGGGTCAACTCCATCAAGCATCTAAAGATGAAGGGTGGAGCGATGAGGAAACCCTACAGCAACTGAGATACACAGTGCTCTTCCAGGCATCAAGCAGGTGTTATGGACCCAGTGCAGAAACCATTGAAGAAGGTTTTGATGTAGTCTTGCCATTGAGGAACGAAAACTCTGAAGTTTCAGCATTGGATTTTTCCGTTGAAGCAATACTGATGCAGCATAAGGATTTCCCTGATGCAGGAAAGCTAATGCTGACAGCGATCATGTTAGGTAGAGTACAGGACAATACAAAAGTAGGAGAGGATCCTTCTTCAATGGAGTAACCGACATCATTGCAGTTCATGCTGATGGATTTTTGTAAAACGAAGTGTAGAATCTTGTAAAACATTAGTAATATTTTAGTCCGTAGTCAGTGTGAACTTGCTATGGTCAATCTAATTCAGCTGCATATTTCCCCCGCCTTATGAGCCTTCTGAAAACCATCCCTGTCTTTGCTTCATCGCTTCTTATTTTTAACCCCAGGAGGTAGTTCTTACCAAGTTGGCACAGCAGGGATGTACACGTGGCCAAATAACTCTCTGGTACGTAAAAATCAGCTCTACGTTCCCCTTGGCTCTGTTTGCGTGAAATTAAAAAAAAAAAAAAAGGGGGAAACTTTGTTTTAGCCCCTAATATATTATTCCATTATCAATAGAGTTTCAAATCTTTTGATTTTATCAATTTTAGCTCAAATGTAATGAACGTTAGAAAAATGTCACCTTCCAATCCATCTACTGTTAGTGATAGTTAAATATTTTGTTCAATTTGATGTGCAAATTGGACATTGTCTAATGTCGATTGCGTTTGCAAAAAAATTGATAAAATGAAAAGATTTAAGACTCAATTGATAATATGATAATATATGTTAGGAATTAAACTGAGGTTTCCCTAAAAATACTACGAACAAGAACATGAAAGCATTGAGTCAAATTAAAACCATTGATTCCCATAATTCATTTCCTTACGAGCCGAACCTTACACCGAAGCAGATAGAATGGGTTTCTTTCTTGTGTTTATTAGCCATTTCATGTAGATTTTTTTTTCAATGTGGTCAGCCCGTTTGCCTTTGAAGCTTTTTCATTGGTCGAGGAGCATTAGCCACCCAAATATATATATTTTTTAATTGTAACCCTATATATGCGTGGCTTGTATTTTACTCTCAGAAGCATCCGACCAACAAGATCTTTCTATTCCACATGGCATAAGGGTAGCCAATATTCTCTTCAAAGAAATCAGCATGGAAATCCACATCCAATCTAGTAGCCAATAGGATACCACTGACGTGTAGATTTCCTAATCCACAAAATCTTCTCATTTCTTATATAACTCTCCTCTTGTTGCCTTGATATGATGTAATCAGGGCAAGAGTAAAAGAAAAGAAGAAGAAAGCAACTTAGAGCATTAACAAAAGAGTCATGGCAACCTCTGCAATCCAACAATCTGCGTTTTCCGGCCAGACCGCTTTGAAGCAGTCAAATGAGCTTGTCCGTAAGGTTGGTTCCTTTGGTGGTGGTCGTATTACCATGCGCAGGACTGTCAAAAGTGCTCCCCAAAGCATATGGTAATGTTTCTGGTCTCTAGCTAGTAATTAATACTATCAGTTTTACTTCTTCTTACAAATTAAGAATAGCACCTCTTTGATTTTTTTCTGCAAATAGGTAGTTCTCGCCAAAAAAAAAAAAAATTCTCATCCGTTGCTTGCTACCAAGTTGTTTAGCAGTGTACCTAGGCAATGAGCTTTGCAGCTGTGTTTTCACTAGCATGCAAGCTTCTACTATTAGCACATTTTTCATCGAGAAAGATTTGTTTGAATGGTGGAAAGTAATTGCAAATGAATGCTGAGAAAAGTAAGTCACCAAAAGCATGAAAGCGCAGCTTTAATGATTAATCTTTGTAGCTGTATCACCTGGAGGGAATTTTCCACCAAGAAAATCTTAGCTTGGAGAAACCGGCTGTTTGAGTGAACTTATGTTGATCGCCAAAACATTTTACAATTTGTTCTAAAATCTGCATTTTAGGTTTATTTCAAACCATGTAATTGCAATAAAAAGCTGACCAGACTGTGATCCTAAAACAGGTATGGCCCAGACCGCCCAAAGTACTTGGGTCCATTCTCTGAGCAAACCCCATCATACCTGACCGGTGAATTCCCTGGTGATTATGGATGGGACACTGCTGGTCTGTCTGCAGACCCTGAGACATTTGCCAAGAACCGTGAACTTGAGGTGATCCACAGCAGATGGGCCATGCTTGGTGCACTTGGATGTGTCTTCCCAGAAGTTCTTGCAAAGAATGGTGTCAAGTTCGGTGAGTCAGTTTGGTTCAAGGCTGGATCTCAAATCTTCTCCGAGGGTGGCCTTGATTACCTTGGAAACCCCAACCTCATTCATGCTCAGAGCATCCTCGCAATCTGGGCTAGCCAGGTTGTGCTCATGGGATTTGTTGAAGGCTACAGAGTCGGTGGAGGACCACTTGGCGAAGGACTTGACCCCATCTATCCTGGCGGTGCCTTTGACCCACTTGGCCTCGCTGATGATCCTGATGCATTTGCAGAATTGAAGGTTAAGGAGCTCAAGAACGGCCGCCTGGCAATGTTCTCAATGTTTGGATTCTTTGTTCAGGCCATTGTCACTGGAAAGGGTCCTATTGAGAACCTTTTGGATCACATTGCCGATCCCGTTGCCAACAATGCTTGGGCTTTTGCCACTAACTTCGTTCCTGGAAAATGAAGAAATCTCAGAGGGTTGGCCTTGTAGATTGTAACATTGCTTAGTCCTTGTGCTTTTCTCGAAAACTACTTGTTATGGACTCTGCCGGTACTCGTGTTTTTAGTATTGAAACTGTGGAAACTGCTTACATATATGGGAGGTTCTGTATCACTATGAATTCACTAAGAACATCACTCTTTTGTGCTTGACTCTACTTTTTTGGTTGGAATTCTACTGTGCCATAGATAAGTTGGTTCCCAGTATAGATAGATCAATGTTTTAGATAAAACAAATATTAACAATTCCATCGCTGCCGAGGCAGTGGGGGAGAAAGGTATCTTCCCTCTGAAACTTAATGGATGAACTAAAAATTAGTCCCTTCGGATACTCACTTCAGTGGGATCATAGCAAAATAAGCAATATCTATGAAGGAAGAAACACTTCCAATAGCTGCTGTTATTGTTAAAAATAACGAGTAAGAGTTAATAGCTTGTTCTGAAGATTGCCATCAATGTAAAACATAAGTGGCGAGAAGCTGCAATTTGGACAGTGAGCTAAATCGTGACATAATGTTTCATTGTACATCTTGGTTGTACTACTGGCCCTGCTGCTACTGTTTTTTCAATGGAGGAAGAAATAGATTTTCTCATTTGTTAGCTCCGGAAGCAAGGCCAAGGAAGAAAGGTATACATCCCAAGTGCTGTTTGCTTGAAGTTGAGGAGAGGACTTGTTTTGTTTTAAAGATGGCTATTAAGCAGCTGCGAAATGGAGCACGAAGGCTTATAAAACATTCGCCCTCGCCCTGAAACTGCCTTATTTTTCAAAACTCTGTCTAAGTTCAAAACTCGAGATTGTTCTTGATGCAGAGAAAATAGTTTTTTAGACAATAAATTGCAACAATAACATTGAAGGAAAACTTGTGGAAGCCAAAAAGGAAAAATAAAAAAGAGAGGACAGTTAAGGAAAGAAACAAATTATTGGAGGTGTTGGAAAAATTAAGGAAAGAATCCGTATTTTTTCTTCCAACAAAGAAAGAAGATAAAGAAACTGATTTTATAATTTTAAATAAAAACGATACTATTATTGAAAAGTAAATTTCATTTTAAAAGAGATGGAGTGTAAAAAAAATATTCAATATTGAAAGATGTTAGTGTTACATAGAGTAATGGATCAAGTAGTATTTTTTTTTTTTTTCGAACTAGGCTTCACATCAGCTAAGACCAATCCATCAATTTTTAGATTAGGTTAGCCTTGATCATGCGAAGCTTTGATAGGTTTTAAAAGTTGGATTCTTTGAGCTCACCGGTAGTCATATTTTTTGAATTAAATTAATATCGAATCATGTCTAATTTTTAGTCGATTCTAAACATTAAATTCTTTAAACCTATTAGCAATCCATATCTAATGAAAAAAAAAAAGTTTTTAATAATGAAAGTCAAATACATGATCTATGAGGTGGAGACACTTTCTTACCACTCCACGGACAACCTTTTGTGTGTTGAAAATTTAATTTTTTTTCATATAAATTAGATTTGATAAGAAACTAATTCAATCCAAACACATACAATAATCAAGACCAGAGATGGTGATAAATAAATAATAAAAAAATAAATTTACGTGAAAAATCTTCTATATTGTAGAGGGAAAAAAATCACAGAATTAACTCTAAAATAATATACTATAACAAAAAAAAATACAATCACTAACTTTTTTCATGAACTTGAGTAACAAAAATATCGATAATAATACAAATTGTTTTTTTTTTATAGTTAAATCTGTTACAACATCAAAACCTAAATTTTAAAAAAATTTCTTTATTTTTACAAAACTCAATATTGTGTGAGATAACTATATTAAATTAAAGCTATAATTCTTTGTGATTATAATACTTTAAAAAATCAATATTAAAAACAACTTCAAAATTTGGTGCATAAAAAATCTTTACTTTCATATTGTAGCCATCTTTTCTCTTCTCGTGATTTTTATCTCACGGCAACATACCAAAAAGAATTTAAAACTTATATTTATTCTAACATCACCATTTTTTCCATTTCTACAGAGACACGCATGCACCTTTTCTTTTTCTTTTTTCTCTCTTTTTTTTCCTCGCTTCAATCTTTTTCTTAATTGAATATAATCATATAAATCACATACATCACTGGATTCATTTCATTACCCACCACGATGGTATTAATAGATTAAGTAACAAGCTAGTGAAAATTTTTCATTGATAATGATACAAAATTAATTCACTTTCAAAAATAACTTTAATTTTTTTAAAAAAAATCGTTAAGTATTTTTTACAATTTTTTTAATATTAAACATTCAAAAAAAAAAAAAAAAGGTTGGAACGCTCTCATATTTTATTTTTTATCATAAAAAAAAGTCAAATGAATTTTTCTGTGTGTTTTTTGTATGCTTCACAAAATATTTACAGTGATGGAATGCATATTACCAAAACTTAAGATGATTTAGAAGTACATATACAAACATTTTGAGACACAAGTGAAACCATTAAGGTAAAGTAATATGATTTAATTTGTTAGGGTTTCTCACAACATTTGGGAGCATTCAACTTTATATATATATATATGGCAATTCTATGAACTTTCAATATTCAGAAAATAAAAAATATTTTCAAACCTCAAAAAATCATAAACCTAATTGATCCATTTTACGTTAGAATCTAAAACTGAAAATAGATTTTTTTTTTTTTTAACTAGCAGGCCAACCCATTAGAGTTAATCCAAATATTCTTAATAAATCCAATATTTACATCCTCTGCAAATTTACCTGGTGGACAAAATAAAAGTTCTTTGTTAAATTGAGAGAAGAAGCTCCGTTTTGTGGCAATTGTTTTGTTTTTGGATCCATTTGGGTTTTAGTATACTCACCTGAAAAGGGAAAAGATTTGCAACCAAAAACTATTAGACATGAATAATGTTTCCTTGTCAAAGAGACGGAAAAAAGGTGAATCCATGTCAAGTGTTAGCGTTGGCAGTCCATTGATCAGAAAAACAGCAGCTCTAAAACAATCACACCAATACCCTTTTGGGATATTTGCATGTAGCATCATAGTAAGCCCAAGTTCTTGTATGTTTTTCGTTCAGCAAGGCCATTTTGTTCAGGAGTCTTAGGACATAAAACTTGATGAATAATCCCTTGACTATCCAACAATTCTGCGCACCTGGAAATGAACGAAACAAGTCATAACATCAGACTTCTTCTTTTAATGGATATAGCCAAGTAAGGAGTGAATTCAACAACAAAAATGACACAATAACGAAAATTTTCAGTGGAACAGACAGAGGCAGGCCCCCATGTGTCTGAATGAATTTTCATAAACGGCTTGTCACAATGACTACTAGAATTGATAACTGGGACTCGACAAGACTTTCCCATTTGACAACTCTTACAAACAGAATTGGATTTATTAGGAGAAATAGACTTTATTACACTCTTGCGAAGAAGAAATTGAACTACCCGATGAAGGGGATGTCCAAGACATTGGTGCCATTTATCTTCTGCCACGTTTGTAAAGCGAGTTGAAAATAAAGCGGCTTTCCGATCATCAAGAGCATATAGGCCTTCCTTTCTAGTCTCTGTTGCCAGTGTCTTGCCCGTTTTCATGTCCTTAACAGAGCAACTATTTGAGAAAAAGTCCACAGGGTAAGGCATATCAGTTGTTAATTGACCCACAGAGTTTCAATCCTTCTTAATATCAGGAACCAGGAGCACATTTTTGAAATGAACAGTTTCAGGAGTAGCATCAATCTTAGCATCACCTACATGTATTATTGGAAGAGTATCACCATTTCCAACCAGACGGTACCATTACCAATGCACGGTTTGAGGTTAATTATGTAGTTTAGCTTCGTTTCCAGTCACATGTGCCGAAGCAGCAGTATCAGGGAACCATTAGGCGGCTTGTTACAGCCACGCAGCAGACCAAGTAGCAGAGCTCCTTGAAGCAGCCCAAGCTCAAGCAACTACTAATTATGATCCATGAAGACCAAGTCCGTGAAGCACCTGTCTCCAATTCCAGTTATTGTTTCCCTTCAGAATTGCTCAGCTCTGATTGTTTTTAGCCTTAAGAATAGATCTAGCTACTGTTAGTTTATTTCCAGTAGAGTAGGATGACACGTTAGGATTTCCTTATTTTCTTCTTAATGACCGCGGTACAAGTGCTATATATAAAGGACCCAAGCAAGCCAATAAAATGATCACAGTATTGAGACTAAACAAATTTTTGTGCAAGGAACTTATCCCACCACACCCTTGTGGAACATACTAGGTAGCTTTCTTCCCTAATCTTCAACCCTAAACCTTCTCCCCAAATTCTCAAGATCACTGCAACTGAGCTACAACAAAGATGGCGGTAGAGGTTGTGCTATCACTGTGATGAGCCCTATATTGCCTCCCATGTGTGTCAAAAACTCTTCTTCATTGAAATGGAACACGAACAGCAGACTACCTCAAGCTGAGATATTGATAATACTGGGCACACCTCGAGAGGTACAGAACTCGAGCCATTTGAAATTTCTCTTCATGCTCTCACCGGGGTCCTCACTCCACAAACCACGAGGGTCAAAGCAAAACTAGTAGGGACACCCATCACGATTCTAATAGACTCGAGATCAACTCATAACTTCTTGAACAAACGGATGACGTAAGCAGCAGGTCTCCCAATTGAAAATGGTCTAGCCTTGAAGGTGATGATTGCCAGTGGGGAGAAATTCAATAGTGTGGGCTTTTGTCATCAGGTACCCCTAGTCCTTCTTGACTTTGTATTGTTGCCATTAGAAGGTTGTGATGCGGTGTTGGGAGCTCAATGGCTCTAGACTTTAGGACTAATTCTTTGGGATTTTCAGAATATGGAGATGAAGTTCCAAATAGGGCCAAAGAAATTATTTTGAAGGGGCTAAATACTCTTGGAGCTCGACTAGTGGGGGAAAAAACTATACAAAAGGCATTTAGACAGTTTCTATGGCCGAGGCATTTTGTTACAAATTACCTTGCTTTCAGTACATGAGACCAAGAACACAAAGGCATGGCATCCTTTTGAATAAGAATTTCCTAAAGTTTTTTTGCACAATTGACAGATTATCTCCATCTAGGACTCACGATCGCCAAATTCCTTGGAAGGTAGCCAATCAATCAATGGGCGACCTTTTCGATACACCTACTTTTAGAGCAGGGAAATTAAGAGATTGGTAGATGAAATGCTCTCTCAGGGCATCATTCATCCCAGTCGTAGTCCATACTCCTCTTTTGTGTTGCTAGTCCGAAAAAGTGATGGGTCGTGGTGATTTTATGTCGATTATCGCTTTTTGAACCAGTTGACTGTTAAAGACAAGTTTCCCATATCAATTATTGATGAGTTATCAGATGAGCTAAAGGGAGCACGGTGGTTCACCAAGCTTGACTTACAATCTAGCTATCATTAGATTAAGATGCACCATGCCAGATATGGCTAAGACTGCTTTTCGCATCTACCATGGCCACTATGAGTTTCTGGTAATGCCCTTCAGACTCACTAACGCTCCTTCGACTTTCCAAGCACTAATACAAGATATTTTTCAGAAATACTTGAAAAAATTTATACTGATATTTTTTGTTGATCTATAACTAAGACATGAAGGAGCACTTATACCATGTTAGAGTTGCTCTCTGGCTACTGAAAGAAAATTGTCTGGTTGTAAAAAAAGAGAAGTGTTAGCTAGCCCAGAAGCAGATGCACTATCTAAGGCACGTTATCAGTGACCATGGAGTCTTGGTCAATCTCGAAAAGATTAAAGCCATTAAAGAATGGCCTCAACCTCAAACTATCAAGGAATTACGTGGGTTCCTGGTATAAACAGGGTACTATCACTGGTTCATTACTCACTTCGGTTCCATGGCTTGATCACTTACCAATCTATTGAAAAAGAATGCCTTCGCCTGGTCTTCGAAAGTTGAATTTGCTTTCACATAACTCAAACAAGCAATGACACAAGCTTCGGTACCTACACTTCCAGATTTCTCCCTACCTTTTGCGGTGGAGTGTGATGCCTCAAGAGAAGGGATTAGAGTTTTTCTCATGCAAAGTCAGTATCCCATCGCCTATTTCAGTACCACACTGTAAGGTAAAAATATATCCTCATCAACTTATGAAAAGTGTTAGCACCCAAAATTTTCCCAAAAAGTAAATTAAAAAAAAAAAGGGATGCAATTGAAAAGGGAGGAGAAAATGATCAAAATAAAACGAGGCAGCAAGATGAGGGACCAAATCAAACTTCAATAAAGAACCCTAAATGTCACTATAAAAACAACTTTTTCTCAAAAAAAAAAAAAAAGGACTACTGTTCATCATCTCTATAAAAAAAAAAAAGCCCCTCAGCCGTCATAGTTAACTCTCCCACACAGCAGCCCCCCCACGCCACAACCAACTCTGCCCACACACAGCAGCTTGAACGCCAAGTAGCCCTGCACCCTTTGCGTGCCACAGCCCCACTCCAGGCCAAACCACACTGCTAACCAACCTCTCTCTCTTGCCAGCCAGCCCTCCACACTGCCAGCAAACCAGCCACCATGCCTCTTTCGCTCGCTCCCAACACTTCACTAGCGCCATCACGCCTACATCACCCCACATAACAACATCCTTGTGGCAGCCCAAACAGCTCCCCCTACTACCCCAAATAGCCTCTACTATCTACAGAAACCCCAAGCTCCAACTGCAACGCCTACTAACCTTGTATCCCTAGCTCTCTCTTAACGCCACACCAGTCTATAGCCTACCGCCCCTTAATACGCCCCACACCCAACTTATTCGCAGCTCTCCCCTGCATTCCAGTCTTGACTCACGCCTTCTCCCATGTCGATACACATGCCACAGCCAGCCCCACTGCCTAACCAGTCTCCTTTCCATGTCTAAGCCCTACCCCCTAACACGCCTACCATTCCCGTTACAACCTCTCCTGACACACTCCAATATAAAACTCCATCTCTCATCTTCCTCACCTCCACCCATAACTCCCCCTCACCATAACCTGCACAGCCCCATAACACAACCTCTCTCATAATCTTTCACCATCACTGTAACTCCCTCTCACCCGAAACCTTGCCATTACAGTCTCCCTATTTTGACAAGTCATTCCAACCCAAACTCCAACCTTTAAACTCAGCAGCTAACCCCATTCTAGCCTATTTCAAAGCCCCAAAGTACCAAAAAAAAAAAAAAAAACAAAGCCCCAAAATAGATCCAAAACCCACCAAAAGAATCCTTCAAAATCAGTCCTACAACTATTAACAATAGCCCCAAAATAGACCCAAAACCCACCAAAAGAATTCTTTAAAATTAGCCCTACAACTATTAACAATAACCCCAAAAACCCTTGAAGAGAAACCCTTTCGGATAGCCCATTTAAATCACCAAAGTAGCCCTAAAAATACCCCCAAATCAGCTTTAAGACAACCCAAAATACCCTCTCATCAAAATAGTCACAAAACCTCACTTAAAACAACCCCTTGACACTTTTGGAGCTACTAAAAAAAGGAAGAAATAAAAGCCAAAAAAAAAAATTAAAAGAAAAGACTCAAAAATTTTCTCGTGTTGGATTATGTTAGCGGGAACAACAAAATGTTGTAGATTTCATTAGCTTAATTTTTGACAGGAGAAGAAGCAACAAAAGTCACCTTGAGCTTTCGGGAACTTTGTAACTCTACAACGGTAACTTTGCAAATTTTGAAACCAAGTAAAGGAAGATCTCTTGGCCACCCTAGCAGTATTTGCACTCATTGCCCACCATCGGTTACTTTCCTTTCCTGGCTAATCGAATAATCAATTATCATCGAAAATGAAGAGGGTAAGACTCACTCCAAATTGAACATCAACATTTCGGGACTTTAGGGTAAAAATCTTGAAACCACGGCATTTCTAAAAGTATGTTAAAAGGTTAAAAATGAATGATGTGTGTGGAATATGATTAAAATTGTGATATTTAGCTTCACATTTATGGATTAAATGAGATTGAAAAAATAAATATTATTGCAATGATCGTTAAAAGGCAAAATGCCTCGTTTTCCTGTTGTTATGCCCACTTGTTTAAATATGAAGTTTGTGATACTCTTGTGATTTAGTTTATTGTCCATAATTAATTACAATATACAATGAAGTTGTCGATGACTTCTCACTTATCCGAAGAAGCTATCGGTGGTTTTGAAATTATTTTTCTAATTTTGCCAATTTGTCGATTTTTGCTAATTTTGTCAATTTACCAATTCCGCATATTTTGTCTAATTGCTTATTTATCGATTTTTGCCTCTTTCTTATTTTTCCTTATTGCATATTTGTCGGTTTTGTCGGTTTGCCTATTTGCTTAATTGTCTGTTTGCCAATTTTTTCAATTTGTCTATTTTACTTATTTGTCAATTTACTGATTTTGCCTATTGACCCATTTGCATGTCCGTCAATTTTGCCAACTTGCCTATTTTGCCTAATTACCTATTTTTTAATTTTTTGATTTTTCCTATTTTGTCTAATTGCCTATTTGTCTATTTATTGATTTTGCCAATTTGTCCATTTTGCTTATTTCGCCTAATTATCTATTTGCTTATTTGTCGATTTTGTCAATTTGCATATTTGTCGATTTTGCCTCTTTTACCTAATTTTACGTTTATCGGTTGTGCCAATTTGTCAATTTTTTTTATTTTACCTATTTGTCAATTTGTCGATTTTGACTATTTTGCCTATTTGCCTATTTTTCAATTTGTCGATTTTTTCCATTTTACCTATTTGTCTGTTTGCCATTTTGCCCATTTTGCCTATTAGCTTTGTTTGCTTGTTCATCAATTTTTGCCTATTTTGCTCGAATGCTTATTTGCATATTTACGCATGTTTGCCTATTATGCCAACTTATATATCTTGTTTGTTTGCCTATTTTTCCATTTTTAATTTTTGTTTTCATGCCTACTATTTAAGTTGCATTAGCGAGCATATCTTTGCATTCATCATTTTTTAGCCATCCATTACAGAGTGAGGATAAGGCCTACGGCAAGCCAAGTCTCGAATCACTCGACTAGGGGTAAATATTTAAAAAATAAGCATAGTCTTTCATCATTAAAAATCAAAAATCAAATCAATTTTGTACGCAATACTGACTTGCAGTAAGCAAGATGGGGTAAAGTGATTTTTAATCTTCCTTACACGTAATAAGCCCCTTATCCGAACTCCGAACATACCAATCATAGAGTTTTCTAGTAACCATTATACTAGGTGGCGACTCTAATTCTTTTTGCTCATTTTTCCCGCTTTCACCTTAACATGTCGCCCTCATCCAGACGTCATCCTGTGACAAAAAGAAATTGATGGTCTTAGTACTTACGATCTAAAAATGACGATACTATCTCCGGGGTAGTCGTTTCATCATTAAGACGAGATCACCACGAGTCTCAAATACCTACTTGAACAACAAATTTACCATGGAAGCATAGTAAAAACGGCTCATTAAACTACTTGGATATGATTTCAACATTGAATACAAGCGAAGACACATTAAGGTTGCGACAAATGCTTTGTTGCGAAGTGAACAAGTTGAATGTTGAGCTCTTTTAACACCTGTTCCTTAATGGCTAAATCCTATTGTGATCGAGAATAGTATCCATCCGGCATTATAGCAACCATACCACTTGTGGCAACGAGGTGAAATCGTAGGTCCATGGCGAGGTTAAACGGGGCATCCTCTTCTTCAAAAGTCGAATCTTTCTACTTTTAAATTCTTTCCTTATCTCCACATTTCTTAAAAAGATTCATGAGAGTCGCCATGAGGGGTACCACAAGACATTGTATAGACTTCGAAGCACCTTCTATTGGAAGAACATGAAAGAGGGTCTACGATAAATTATCAAGGAATGTGATGTTTACCAACGCCACGAGGCCAACCGGACCAAAGCTCGTAGGGCTGCTGCAGCCCTACCATTCCCAACTCAAATTTGAGTCGATATCTCGATGGATTTTATTGATGGCCTTCCTTCATCCCATGACAAAAGCACTTTATTTATAGTGGTTAATAAACTCTAAAATATACGCATTATATTCTAGTCACTAGCCCACACGAGCTTCAAGTATTGCTCAAATTTTCTTTGAGAATGTTTTCAAGTTACATGGTATGTTGCGAGTCCATTATGTGTGACGGGGATCCCGTGTTCACATGTGCATTTTGAAAGGAACTATTCTAACTCCAATGAACAAATTTCAACTTTAGTTCGAGCATACCACCCTCGGAAAGATGGCCGGACCGAGGTCATCAATCATACTTTTAAAATTTATCATCGTTGTTTCATTAGCGCTAAACCAAAAGAGTGGATAAAGTGGCTAGTATGAGCTAACTATTGTTACAACACTAGCCAACGCTCCGCAAATTGCCACACCCCTTTTGAGTTAGTTTACGGAAGGGCTCTACTCACACTCCTCTCGTATGTTCTAGGCATGGCCAAGGTTCGAGCGATTGAGGAAGCCTTATTCAAGAGAGATTCGATCCTTCGGGACCTTCGCACATGCCTAGGGGGTACATAATAAAATGAAGCGGGTTTATAACTAAAATAGGATCGAGAGAGAGTTTACGCAAGAGAATGGGTTTATATTAACCTCCATCCATATTGACGATACGTGCTCGCTAATCGGATCTTACATAAGTTAGTTGTTCGTTTTTATAGGCCTTTTAAGATATGAACAAGATGGGATAGATGGCGTACAAGTTAGTTCTCTTAGTTTCGAGTAGAATTCACCTCATCTTCCATGTATTAGCATTAAAAAAGAAGTTGGGAGAGCTTGCCCAAGCAATAGTCCGACCCTACGAGTTTCTTCTACATAAGTTCCCGAAGCCATCCCGGAGGTCTATAGCCAAGGCAAACAACGGGAATAAGCTGGTTTAGTAGTAGAACACAATTATCTCCAACGTTACATAGGTCAATCAAGCCTCTTTCTCTCGAGTTTTTCTAATTTTCCCACTCCTCGAGGAAAAAGAGTATTTCAACCAAGGAGGAGCCATTACGGTCACACCAAGCAACATACCTCATTTGCCACGGCCTTAGGAGTATGCCATGATCGGCATGAGAACCGAGGGGATCATGAGGCCCATCTTTACCCAAGTAAGCCTTGGATACTAAACTAAATCTCAAGCCATGATCAAAGTTATACTATAGTCCTCAAATCAATATCACTCAAATTATCATTCTAATCAACATTATCATAACTTAATAAATATTTTTTTTACGACCTCAATACAATTCATATTTCAATACCCAAAATCAATATTCATAATTTATCATTCATAATCAACTCTTAATACACTATTACAGTACATGTAAGTAGAGCATCTAAGATTACAATTTTAAACATACATAGGTTCTAAGGAATTTACAAGAAAATAAGTCGTACAATCAAAGTGCCGACTTCAAATCAAACGACTAAGAGGAAGTAATAAGAAATCCGCCAATATCCTACAAGATTGAAATAATGAGCGACAAGCAATTAATAGCTCAATGAATAGACATTATATAATATACTAAAAGGGAAAAACAGACTAAGGACGACATTCTCAAATCCATGTTAAAATGCAATGCTTATTCCTCAAACACATGCATATCGAAAACGCATTTCATATCATAATTAAATGATTTAAAACCATTTTGTATTAAATCGTCAAAGCATTTGTACATACATATATCATACTTATATGAACACACACACACACACACACACAAACACACACACACACACACACACATATAGGTTTTTATACACTCTGGTGGAGTAATAATGTATCATTGGGTACGAACACCCAAAGGTCACGCCCCGTGACTAGGTTTTTGCATGTTGATCGACATACGGTCTAACACTACACCTCTCCCGCTAGATGGAGTCTCATATTATTGAGCTTAAAGGCTACCTCCCGGTAGCTAGGTTCCTAGGGTCTCAAAAACATTTTTGAAAACCAAACATACTTATATATATTTTTCAAATTGATATTTCAAATATCATGGATGCATTCTCATAAAATACACGATACACAAAATAACAAATATAACATATATCCGTTCAAATCTAAAAACATATATCAAATCTCTTTCTAATTCACATAAAAAAATTTGAATACGAAATCATTTTAAATATTCATGATGTCCGTTCCCATCTAGGTTATAAGGGAATGCTTCTAAAACATTCATAATCCAATGATGCATGATAGATATAATTTCAAGGAATTAAAACACGAGTACACTATATAATATCCACTCACGAGTATAATTGAAGAACCGAACAAAAATCAAGATGGTCGGGATGGAGTCGTCAACTCCGAAGAATCTAGCATCACAAAATGATGGATCATCCACTAATATCACATAACAAAGAATAATCCAAACAATGAATTATTCTAGAATTAAAATATGAGGTTATCAAATAAAAACGGAATTAATTAAAAAGACTCAATCCGATAATCTAACAAACCCTATGATCCCGTAATTGATTCTAATTAATCGTCTAATCACATTTCATTGTCAATCTTTAACTCATTCCTTAAACAATTAATATTCAATAAATCAATCCTTAGTCCATTTAATTTCCAATTAAGTGATCAATTCTATTCTAATTCATCAAATACTCATTTCATTAACCTTGGATTGCATATATATAGCTCAATTTCTCATTCTCCCCAAATTCTTTCCAATTAAAATCTAAATTCGGATTTGTCACTATTCATCATCTTCAATATCTCAATTTCTCAAATTCATTTGATTCCACTTCAAATTAACTTCTTGTTTCACTTACCCAAGATAATTAAACAGACATTCAAGTCATTACCATCACTTAGAATCATTTTTCCCTAAATGGATTTTAAAACCCTAACTTTAATCTAATCAATTTCCACAAGCAAATCTCAATCTAATGCAACTGCATCTCAATATCATTATTGACTACACATAAACTTCACAATTCAAAGATCAACGGATCAAAAATATTACCTTTACACTATGCTCTTCAAATTTCAAATTCTTCCTAGTTTTCCAAGCTTTCCTAAGCTCCACTTGAATTCTCTTACTTATGGTCTTCTTAGGCTAATTGAACAATGGATTAGCTTAGAAATTGAAGGGAAAGTTGGGAGAAGATTTAAGGAGAAAATCAAGTGAGAGAGGGAGAGAAAGGAAAGGAAAAAACTGGAAAAAGGGGCAGCTACTGCTCCTTTTACAGCAGTCCCTTTTTTTTTTTTTTGGGTTATTACATCCTTGAAGCAGCCCAGCAAACAGCAAACCTTCCTTGAAGCAGCCCAAGCTCAAGCAACTACTAATTATTATCCATGAAGACCAAGTCCATGAAGCACCTGTCTCCAATTCCAGTTATTGTTTCCCTTTAGAATTGCTCAGCTCTGATTGGTTTTAGCCTCAAGAGTAGCTCTAGCTACTGTTAGTTTATTTCCAGCAGAGCAGGATGGCACGTTAGAATTGCCCTATTTCCTTGTTAATGACCGTTGTACAAGTCCTACATGAAGGACCAAGCAACCCAATAAAATGATTAGAATATTCAGAGTAAACAAATTCTTGTGTAAGGAACTTATCCTTTTTTGTGTTGACAGTGATTCCAAAGTAGCTCGAGGCAGGAACAGAGGGCGAGGACGAGGCATAGGCCTTGGGGAGTTCTAGGTACATAACACTGCCTGATTATCTGCAATAGTAAGAGCTGCTAATTAATGCTTGTGGAATATCATTAGCTTGGAAGGAATAGTTAAATCTGTTGAAACAGTTTAAAGCAGCATGGAAATGTTTATCACAAATTTGACAAACTACATCATTACCACTCTTGTTCAAGTTTTCAGTTGCTTCTTGATTTCTCTGCGGAGTTGCTTGTGACATGTCTTGCATGTTACTGTTATTGTTATTTGGACGATAAGCCTCGATATCTACTCCTTTTACCTGATCCTTCCCCTTGAACAAATCCACGTCCTTTGGAATTGAATCTCTGTTGAAATTGCTCCTCCTTTAATTTGAAGCTTATTGGCTCAAGAAAGCCACTTGAGGATGTTTAAGGCGGGCACCATAAAGATGGAGTCGTTCTTCATGACTTTGCAGCAAAGGCGCCAAAATCCTAAATGAAGGAACGGGTGGCTTTAACATGGCTGACACAAAAGATTCATAGCCATCTCCAAGTCCTCTCAATACTGACAGGACCTTATTTTGGTCAGACACGGGCTTTCCTGTGACAGCCAAGTTATTACATGTATATTTGGAACATCGCAAATGTTCATATTGTAAGACAGTACCTTTTTGAATGATGGATAAATCATGAGAAAGATTCAGCTCACCTTCAGTAGTCTTGAGCAAAAGTTATCTTCAAGTGCCTTCGAAACCTCAGCAGCAGAGTCGCTCAGAACGCTTCCACTCCGTGTAGTCTGGATTAGGAATGATTTGTGATCCAGCATCAATGCTCTTTGGATCTTAAATTAACTGTGCAGGTGCAGTGGTGTAGCTATTTCTCCCATGAGAAAGCCTTGAAGATCTTGACTTTCAACAAGGGCTATCAGTTGCGTTTTCCACAGCAAATAATTTTTTGGGACAAGACGCAAAGAGACAAAGCTGCCAACAATGAGTGTTGACGGATAAGAATACGTAGGATTTGTGGTTGAAGAAGAAGACAATAGAAATTGGTACCCTCTTTTGTTACCAATAAAGCTCGATGCCATAACGACAATTAGTACTAAGGTTGAATTACTCACTCTCAGTACAGATCAAGGAGATGAGTTTGTATTTCTTTACATACATCTTTACAGTAACTGATACAAATCATAATCCCATAAATCATGGGATGTCTTACAAATATGTAAAACATAAAAATGCACAGCTGCAGCAGGACTGATTGATAGCACAATCAGTGGCTTAATTACAAAAAAAGATAATCACAAATGATGATCTTGATTATTTCTACCAGAATCTTCATAGCTTTTTTAGTTTACAAGTTGATGGGTCACATTGGCTGGACTCATTTGGCTCTTGGGCAGCTCTGTTTCTCTTCACGAGTTTAAAACGCCACACAAGAGAAAAGAATCCTTTATTTTATTAGATAATAAGTGATTTTATCGGATCCATTATGCATTAATTGAGGTTAAATTGTTTTTTCAAATAGTTTTAAAAAAGCACTTTTTATACTAATTTAATGAATTTGAATTTTTCTTTAGTTGTCGAATCCAGGTTTTAACTTATAAAATCAGAGAAGATAACCTACTTTTCTTTATCACTGGGTAAAAGGGCTAATCTTTCGAGAACCTCTATTTGTTGTTTAGCTTTTCTCTTTCCTGGGGTCCAATCAGAAAAAACATCATACTCCAAAAATATTCCTTCCGATCATTGTCCTTTTGCACACACCCCACAGGCTAAACTCCATTCAGAAACAAAAGAACAGAGGCAGAGGGTTGAAAAACAAATAAAAATAGCAATATCCCTCCAAAAAATGCACCAAGAAATGCACCAACTTCTCCCATGTTTTAAATGGCAAGACGACACTGCATTACCTAATCATTTATTCCCTTGCAAACATCCTTCCAAATGCTAATCTCCAACGTCATTTGGCTTCTATCTCTCAAACTTATCCTCCCTCAAAAAGTGCTTTTGCCTTCACCTCCACCAACTCAGCCCCTCTCTAAGACTAGCCTTGACATTATGCTTCTTGGATTTTGCTGCCAAGTAGCCGATTCTCAATTATATTACAGCATCCAGAATCTGTTAAATTGATCAAAATACCAAGAATTTGCATAAATTACCACAAAATGGCAAACAACTTTCTCCTATATATGCCCCCAACAAAGCCCTTCAAAACAATAAGGGTCCCTCTCCAATGGGTAGGCAAAATGGTGATGCCACTGCGGTTAATTCCTCTATAGCTCTTCTGCAAGAACGGTTTAGGGAACTACAGAGAATAAGGGAGAAGAGACAGGAGAAAGAAATTCTCAAGCTGTTCTCATCACCAGAGTCTGATCAAAGGGTTGCTCCAACCATGCATTTTGATCAGCCTGCTTGCAAGTTGACCTTCCAGCCTGATCAGATGAATAGACCATCAACTTCTCAAGATTCACTACTCTCCCTTGGACTTAACTCTCAAAGCAATAATATGCATCCAGATTTTCGAGCTATGAAGACTACTCCATCAAGCTTATGGCCCAACAGTACTGGAAACTCAGCATCATCATCAAGGAATTTTGAAAATTCTGATGTTGATACCTCTCTTCATCTCTAGCTACATCTCTCCTTCACTTTCATTTTATATATTTCCCTGTGTATTTAGTATGTTGCTTTATCTGTAGCAACCTTTTTGGCTGTAAGAGAATGGGAGAGTATGTAATTAAATGTTTGTTGATATACTCAGTGAGAACAATTTTATATATATATATATATATATATATATACATATGGTCCTGATCATCAATATCCTTTAACTTTGCAGAGCTTCTTTTTTCTTTTGTATCATAAATCCTTTGATTCAGTCTCCAATCATCACCTCTTCTCCTATGTATATAAAATCATTTTCATGGAGATCAGAGAGAATATGGAAGAATATAAGGTTAACACATGCTATAATTTAATCACCCATTTAGGCCTCTTTGTTTACCACGAGCATTTCCGGCCAAGTTCTGATCAAATTATATAATATCACGGCATATGTCTACAAGGAAAATTCCTTGAATCCCTCCAAGGGATATACGGTGCCCGGGGCCACAAGGTCAAAGGTTTAAATTTTTTTGGGATAATTACGTATACGGTGCCCCGTGCCGCAAGGTCAAAGGTATAAATTTTTTTGGAATAATTACGTTATAAATACGTCAATTTTTTATATTTTCTCAATCAAATATATAAATTTTAATATCTTTTATTTGAACATATCAATTTTTTTAAAATTATTAATCAAATATTTCGATCAATTTTTTTATTAATTAATAACGTGTTTATTATTCTCGGAATATCAAATTATAATTTTATCTTCTTTTTTTCTCAATAGAATATATGAACTATAATTTTTTCAGATTGAGTATATTAATTTTTAAAAAATTATCAATCAAGTATTTTTGTTAATTAATGACATATTCGAATACCAAATTACATTTTTTTCCTCATTTCCTCATTTTTTGAAAAAAAAACTCTCTTAAATTATTCTATTATTTTAAAATTTGACAACGGATTAAAAAATTATTATTAGTTATAAAATTTTGAATTAAAATTAGTTAGACTTACTATTTAAAAAAAAAAAACCAATCAAATTTTAAATGTGAAAGTTGAAGAAAACACAAACGTAAAATTTTTCATCTAAAAGATTTTTTTGTGTTTTTCTTCAATTTTTACTCTTAAATCTAATTGAGTTTATTTATTTATTTAATAGCAACCTAACTGAGTTTAATTTAAAACTTTATTGATAAAAAAATAAGATTTTTTAATTATTTGTCAAATTTTAAAATGGTAAACTAATTTGGAGAGAAAGTTTTCTTCAAAAAAAAGAGGATAAAATTATAATTTTATATCCAATACGTCATCAATTAATAAAGAAATTGATGAAAGTACTTGATTGATGGGTTTTTTTAAAAAAAAAAATTAATGTACTGAAACAAAAAAAATTAAAGCTCATGTGTTTTATTGAGAAAAAAAAGATAAAATTATAATTTGGTATTTTAAGGGTAACAAACATGTCATTAGTTAAAAAAAAATTGATAGAAATACTTGATTGATAATTTAAAAAATTAATGTACTTAAATAAAAAAAATTAAAATTTATATACTCGTTTAAAAAAAGGCTAAAAGTTAGTATACTTATAATATAAGTATCTTAATTTTTTTTATTTGAACTCCAGACGTATTAAAAAAACTAAAAATAAAAAATAAAAAGATACTAATGTCCATTGAGTTACAACTCATCAGCGTAATAGATAAAAATTTACATGGCTAAAATATTTCCAAACTTGGGCCTTTCAAAAAATTTAATGGCATGAAATCATTAAACAAAGATTTGTATTCAAAGAGAAATTTATTTATGCTTGATTTAGGATCTTCCGTGTTTTCTTTTTGATATCAGATAAAGGAGCAGTGGGGTTATTGATTAGTTGTTTGGTGGGTTGGTTTAAAATTGGAAGCTTGTATTGTGTTTTTGCATTCCATAGTGTGGTGGGTGCTGAGATATTGCTGGTGGTTTCTTCTTTGTTACTTATTGCCATCTCTTTGGTTGTTTTGCTTGTTGGGTCTTTATGCAGTGCTCTCTCTTTTTGTGAGGAAATCATCTTTTGCATTTATCATGCGTGAAAGCACAAAGCTCCATTGGGAATATGTTATTTCAGGTCAGAAATTTCTTCTTTTCATCAGGGCATCTTTTGACATAATTTTAGCATGACACCTCTTCAATCATTTCTAACTAGAGTTCAAATCAATTATAATTTAATTCTACCAAATATTTGTTTCTTTTATATGGAAAATAAAAGAATGATGCCAGTTTTTTTTTTTTTTTAACGAACTTATTAAAGCAAGAGGTTAAATTTTCAAATGTATTCTTATTCTTATAAATATCAATCATTTTTCAATTATGGATTTTTAATTCATTTGGATTGGTTACTCTGGGGTTGCGTGGGGATTGGTCACTTGTGCTAAGAATACCTCAAAATGCATTAATATTTAGTTTTATAATTAATAAATCTTTATCAGTGTTAAAAAATCTTAATTTATTAGTAATCATACAATTTTTAATGGGCTCTTTATGCTTTATATTAACAAGGCTAATTTTAAAATAAAAAAATAATCCAATTTGTGTGTTTGATTTTTTTTTAATGTTTAATACTGCATTCTAATTTTTAAAATGAATGACGATTATTCATAAGGCATGTTTCATTATGTAAAATTCATATCATATTTAGTTTTTATTTTTATTAAAAAGAAAGAATAATAAGTAAATAACGAGTTTTGAAAGGAAATTGAACTAGAAAACAAATAGTAATTAAAAAACAAAATAGAGAAATCACACTAGCCCTAGTACTTGGGCCATCAACCTAGGTCCATGTGCCCTTTGAGTTGGGCACATGTGTAAGATTAAAACCCATTAAATAACGCAATAATTGTCCTAGCCATCATAACTATAACAACCATTATACTTTAAAAGCTCAAGATTATTATTATTTTTAGACATAAAAGTATTAACTACCAACATTGTAAAAAGATATATTGGAGTTATTTTTATAATTAACTCATGCAATTATTTATTTAAATATAAGATTTCTTAATATCTTCGATGAGAGCATCGATCTTCCACTAGACACTTCCATCCCTCGAGTTATGACCCCAACCACAATAGTTGAATCTATTTCAGTCATGACATCCTTAGAGTAAATTGTTGAGCACAATAGACTATCTCTCTAAGCATCATTGCTTCACCTAGTAAAGTTGTATCTTTTGACAATCGAAGAACCATGGATTCAATAATCTTACGTTCTAAGTTCCTACGGATTCATTGCTTTTAGTACAAACATCCGCATCCTAATCTTTTATACTCTTACTTAATTATTTTCTTTTATATCACCTTTTCTTGTTACCATATATATATATATATATATATATATATATATATATATATATATAATTTTTTTTTGTCAAGAAAATTTGTACTTGGGAGTTTATTTAAAGACAATGCAAAGAAAACCTAGGTCTATTTGTAAATTTCACTCTCGCAAAACTACATTGAGCTTTACGAAAAGTATAACTCTATGTTTTTTTTATGTGTATATAATACAACAACAATAGTAGTAGTTCTTTAAAGAACTCTTTTGACGTATATGCAATTATGATAAACAATAGGCATAACACATATGTTAGTGAGCCTATCACCGACTACATTTCTTTGCCCTATTATGTAATTAGAAATTCTAATGCTTTGTTTTTCATTGGAAAGAATCTAACTTTTAAATTTGTGTATGGTTTTGGATCTCTAATATTCCAAATAATTCTTAAGTAATTTATAATTATTGCATACATGTCAAAGCATTCTTTAAAGAACTACCACTATTGTTGTTGTATTATTTACACATAAAAAAATACTTTTCGGAAAGCTCAAGTTAGTTTTGAGAAAGTGAAATATACAAATGGACTAGGGCTTTTTGTGCGGCGTCTTTAAATGAACCTATAAGTATAAATTTTCTTGACAAAAAAAATGAATGGTAACAAGAAAAAGTGATATAAAGGAAAATAATTAAGTAAGAGTATAAAAGATTAGGGAGTAAGTGTTCGTACTAAAAGTAATGAGTCTATAAGTGTGTCTGTTCGTAGGAAATTAGAAAGTGCGATCATTGAATCTATGACTCTTTGGTTGTCAAAAGATACTGATTTACTAGGAGAAGCAATGATGCTTAAAAAGACGATCTATTGTGCTCAACAATGCACCCCAAGGATGTCATGATCGAAATATATTCAACTATTATGGTTGGTGTCATAACTCAAGAGATGGAAGTATCTAGAGGAAGATTGATGTTTTCATCGAAGATAATAAGAAATCTTATATTAAAATAAATAATTACATGAGATAATTATAAAAATATCTCCAATGTATCTTTTTGCCAAGTTGTGGTTAATACTTTTACGTCGAGCATCCCGTCTATCTCGTAAACATACACATATATTAACTAAGCTAGAGCAACCATTTCGATGAATATGCTATTGAAAGCTAACGTCATCTCTCTACAAAATAAAACATACAATATTATCTACCACATACATAAATAAATTTTAATAATATATGAAAAAAATTAATTATAAATTAAGTACACAAATTTAAAACTTGAATTATTCCGATGAAAAACAAAGCATTAGCGTTTCTAATTACATATTAGGGCAAAGAAATATAGTCGTCGATAGGCTTACTAGCATATGTGTTATGCTCATTGTTTCACATAATTACATACATCTCAAAAGAGTTCTTAAAAGAACTATTGCTATTATTACTCTTATTATTTACACATCTAAAAAAATCATAAAAAAAACTTTCTAGAAAGTTAAATTTAGTTTTGAAAGAATGAAATTTATAAATGAACCGAGGTTTTTTACGCATTGTCTTTAAATAAATCCATAAATATAAAATGTCATGACAAAAAAAAATATGAATGTTAACAAAAAAAACACCGATGTAAAGGAAAATAATTAAATACGAGTATAAAAGATTAGGATGTAGATGTTCATACTAAAAGCAATGAACCCGTTAGTTTACGGTATCGTAGAA